ACTGAGCAGCAGTTCACTCCCACATATTTTCAAACAAGTTTTGCATGCTCGAATAAAGGAAAGTAGAGCAGGTTCAACTCAACTTAAGCAGCTTGACCTCTCCTGTCAACACCAGCGTTAAGTCAAAAGTCAAAGTTGATTTTTATCACTTGAAATGATGCCTTCTATTAATAGATTGTTTTTCTAAGCACAGGTGAGACTGGTGGCGAGCAGTACAGGCAGACTAACTGGTATGATGTGTTTGGGTGAACATTTTCCGCAGCTCTATTCATCCTAAAACCTCTTCTTCCTGCTTTTTGCATTCCTCCTGCACTGTCACAGAAGCTTGAAATATGGTAATAATATTTTATCTCTTCCACAGATATGATCTTAATGGGGCCCACTCAGCCAGAATGAAAAGCGAGTACATTTTCCTGTGATTAAAACTGTGTAAAAAACATGATTTTACCCTTCACTAAACCTCCATATGGTTTCAGCCCCTAAACAAACACCCTGCCAACATCATTGCATAACTCAGGCTATAATAAACTCAGTCATCTAATTTTTAAATCACTTTTAATGAACAGTTAATCATAAACAGGTCAGTAACAATTAACCAGTGTCAGCCTCATGCATCATATGAGCATCATAAGAGGCACAGGAGGTACAAGCCCTTAAGAAAGCTTTTTTTGTGCTGTTAATAGGAGCTGTGTGCCGAAGGAGGCTCCTATCTGATCACTCAGATACAGAATCCCCATGGCTTACGTAAGGGATTTGCTTCCTTGTAAATCTGTTATATCACCATATAGGCCGCCGCGGCAGCACACAGAGGAGGTGCCTGGCTCCTGGTGACACCCCTGACCTGTGAGAATCTCCACTATGTGTTAGCATGCTCCCTGGTGATGCTGCTAGTGTGGCACATGTTAATGAGACTGTGTTTATCTGTGCGAATGGTCTCTGGTAGTGAAGACAGAGGCCAGAATCACACAGAGTTAATGATGCTGTCAGAAGGACAGCGAGGGAAGCAGCCAAGGGGGGACGATGGAATAAGACAGAGGGCAAAGATACACAAGGAGGAAGAAGTGATAATGGCTCCTCTTCTGCTTCTCTCTCTGTATTGGGATTTTAAGTAATTATCTCATCCGTTGCCACAGTCATCCTCTCATAGTTAATAGCAGCACTTGGCCGGTAACTTGTGGCGTCAGACACTGATGGCGCTCAGCAATGTCAGGGGGGAATTGCAGTGGGACAAGAACGTAAGTTAAGGCGGCGAAAGTCCAACAAACACTGACCTTAACCCTGGAGAGAGGTGTTCGCGTCCCATAAGATTCTAAAGCCAAACCCTGTTCTCCTAAACCTTACCAGGCACTTTTGTAACCTAAACCCAATCATGTGTGGTTGTTGTTGGAGGAAAAAACGGAAATTCGCATTGTTGTACGACATAGTACGTTTATTTATAAAATCATAAACAGGCAGAGCTTGGCGCGGCGTACCAGAACGTCAAAAACCAACGTCGTATCAGGACGTGAAAGGTCCATGACCAAACGTCAATATGTAACAAGGTCGAAGTGAGAATGTGTTGACAGCAAAGACCCACTGTCTGACACTGACACACTGTGAAGACATCAGAAGACATCATCAAGACAGGACTTCCCTAGAAGCCAATTGGCTGTTGAAACAGGTGATGTGCTTTATATTCTAAAACCAGCTGCTGATGACTTTACAAGCTGAGTCGCAGGTGACACCATCAGCCGGCTTGAGTCGAGCTGAGAAACGCCAGTAAACCCCGCTGCAACTTTTCCCTGCTACGTTTTAAAATGGTTTCATCCCATCGTGAATCTGTGGACTGAACTGGGTTTAACAGCTCAGCCGAGGAGGACGCCATTTATTTTTACATCTCACATGAGTAGATGCACACTTCCTTCTGCGTGGTGATACAGTTGACAGGTGTAGTTTGATAGAAAGAAAATAATTCCTATATAAAACTGCTCACAACAAGGTCTGTGGATTATCTTGAGTAACCAGAGGCCTGTACTTTGAAGCAGGATTTGGAGTTAGACAGGTAACTTAATGGTGTTATTGTTTTCCTTTTGGCACTCTAAGCACCACAAACCAAATGCCATCTAGTTCCATTATATTGGAGAGAAGGCAGAAGTCTCTACGGCTGATATTTCCAACACTCTGCACCTCGCACCAAAACAATCTAGACTAATAAATAGCACTACAGGTAAGAGGAAAAATATGTATTTTTCATTTTGGGGTGAACTGTCCCTTTAATGTTGTAAAGGTTCAACTGTGGTCAACTGCATCTGGAAATATTGGCAAATCTGAAGATATTACATAAATGACTAATCAGTCTTTAAACATTCAGGTGTGAAAAACATTAGCTATGAGCGGATGACTGTAGCAGCAGATGAGATAATGACTTTGGAAAAATGTATTTTTAGTTTGTAATGAACTGTGCCTTTATTCATTAGTTTGATTTAATTGTGTCACAGTTTATGCCCTACTGATTGGAACTGTCCATCTTTGATGTTCTGCAGTAACTTGATCGATGATGACTGATCCTGTTATTTGACCGTGATGTGTTTTTCAGGTCATTCTGCCGTGTCACATGGTATTATGTAACCTGACTTGTTGTGGTGGCTGGTACTGCTTTAGTCCTTGTGAATCTGTGTGTGTGTTGTCATAGGGAGATGTGGTCCTGGTGACAACAACTGTGGTGAGAACGACCACAGTGGTTCCAAGCATGGGGGCCAGAAGAAGGGGGGTTGGAAGTAGGGAAGGTGCCTTTGGACAAGAAGAAAAATACTGAACAGCGTTAGCCTTATTTTTCAAGTGTATTGTCCTCCATCACCTCAGGGATGCTGATTGATAATTGATGACTCCTCCTAACAAACCTCACAGCCTTGTCATCAGAGAAGGAAAAGCATGGGTGAAACTGATAAGATTAACGATGGCTCACCTTCAGTGAACTCATGGAATGTCACGACTGTTTTTATTTACACCTGTGCATTCCCCATATGACATGACAAAATGTCTGCTGTGAAAAAGGTCTATTGTTCTGTATCTATTTCACCGAGACCTGAGACAATAAGGTGCTATGAATGGTGACATTTAGACAGTTCTTTGGTGCCAGCACCTTTTTGACTTGTGCTGGTGTTTGCTTTATTAATAGCTGTCTCCTACAGTATTGTTATCAGTGTTTCAGCTCTCAGGTGCAAAAAAACAAAATCAAAAGTTCCTACAAGCTAATATTTCTGATTAAAGTAAAAAGGACTCAAACAATCACCTTCATTTTTAGCCCAGAAAAAAAAATCTGTGTGACATGGTGGTGCAATGGTTAGCATTGTCACCTCACAGCAAGAGAAATCCCGGGGTGGGGGGTTTGAACCCCGGTCTGTTGGCCCGTCTGTGTTGGGTTTCCCTGTTCTCCTTGTGTCAGCGAAGGTTTTCTCCGGGTACTCCGGCTTCCTCCCACAGTCCAAAGACATGCAGGTTAATTGGTGACTCTAAATTGGCCGTAGGTGTGAATGTGAGTGTGAATGGTTGTCTGTCTCTATGTGTCAGCCCTGTGACAGTCTGGAGACCTGTCCAGGATGTACCCTGCTGTCACCCAGTGTCAGCTGGGGTGTTGTACCACAAGGTATATTCTCTGCAGTTGGCTATTTATGATTATTTGGTACATTAACTTTGCAGCTTCGGCAATGAAAGCAATTGAATCTCTCCACGGACCATTTAAGTCTCTATTTTCTTTTGAGACCGAGACCTTTTTTGGAATTGGAATACATTGTTAGCCAAGCTAGGCAGACTTTGGACTAGCTGCTGCTATTGAGGTGACTCTGATGACATGAATTTAAATGTTAAAAAACAATCTTTCATACCCATGCATTTTGTTTCTGTCCTGATCCGTAACCTCTTATCCTGTTAGGGGTCACAGGGGGGGCTGGAGCCTATCCCAGCTGACATTGGGTGAGAGGCAGGGTACACCCTGGACAGGTCACCAGACTATCACAGGGCTGACACATAGAGACAGACAACCATTCACACTCACATTCACACCTACGGTCAATTTAGAGTCACCAGTTAACCTGCATGTCTTTGGACTGTGGGTGGAAGCTGGAGTACCTTGAGAAAACCCACGCTGACACAGGGAGAACATGCAAGCTCAGCACAGAGGGGCTCCCCCAACTCCAAGGTTCAAACTAGGAGCCTTTTGCTGTGAGGCAACAATGTTAACCTCTAAACCACCTTGCCACCCTTTTGTGATACCGAATCAAAATCTTGTTGGCAGCCTGTAAAAAAATTGTGAATGAAATATATGATAAGGGACTGTTAACCCACAGGATAAGGACTCAAGAGGAGTTATGTTGAGAGAAAAGGACAATGTTAACATGTCAACAAGATGAGAGACTGAGTCACTGACTATGTTCCAGGGATGAATAGCTTTTGAGAGACAGGCCAATCCTGACCTTTTCATATATTTCCATACACGTATTTTTTTCCCTCTACCTTTTTGTGATATTTTGTAAAAGCAATATAAATCAAGTGTTGAGAAAACAATCTTCATTCAATTCCATGCATATTTTTTGTCAGAGGCTATAAAAGAGCTGTGTGCTGCTCTGGAGCCACAAGTTGCTCATCCCTGCTCTTCGCAGACTGAGATCAACTTGACTCTTGACTTGACCTGATGTGTTTATGACCATAACTTAGCTGAACTGCTCATTATTTCAGTTCTGATCTGCAAAAATGAGGGTGATGTGGTAAAAGGAATGAGACAAATATCTGAGGTAGGCTAACATAACCTGGCGTTGGGACAACCTCATGAGAGCTGGCTCATTAGGGAAGCTTCTGATAACATCTCACATAGCAGAGCTTCAGTCGTTAGATGTATGAACATATTAAGTGTAGTTATACAAAGTGACCTGGTTGTCAGACCCTGAAAAATGTCATATAAGAAGAATTTGTATGGAATTACAGCAATGATCTTTGAAGAAAACCTACACACACACAAACCAGACTTAGATAAAAATGCTTTATTAGTTTACTCTGTTGCATTTTAAAGTGCAGCACTGAGAAAGAAGATGGAGAAATCAAGTGAGAAAACAATATCAGGGAACTTAATGCCCACCAGCAAGCTCATTACTGCTCATTAAAAAACGCCAGAGGGATATCAAAGCTGAGAAAACATGCTGGCAAAGCTTTGCAGTTCATTGGAAATAAATAACTTGTGGGAATAAAACATTTCTCCCATTACAGAAATATAGTTATTGCTTTTGATGCCGTTTATGTGTCATCACATCCACGCCATCCGTACAGTAACACCCCTTGTTGCAAGGCACTTGGGCCGAGTGCTCCAAACCAAATAAAAACTGACATTCACAAATATGTTGCGAGACGTGATAACAGTCGAAACACTCTCAGACCCATTTCTGACAACAGCTCAACACTTTGGAAACCAATAAAAGAAAACGACATCAACACATTAGCATATTATGGCATGTTTCATAACATAATACACAGCGTATTATGGTAACATTATTAGAGCAACTCTTTTTATTATGTTCTCTTTGTGGAGCAAAGATGGAGCGTGTCAATGCTTGTTGGAGAGATTTTAATATGATGCACGCAAGCTGCAGTCGCTCGGTGTCATCAGGTCACAAGTGGCTGCCCCCCCTTATCGAAAACAGGCACTTTATTCATGACTTAGATAACGGTGGTACTTTGCCGTGTGAATCAAAAGGGCTCCTTGTGTCATGAATAATCTTAATCAAAAGTATAATCAGTCATACAGCGAGTGGAGACACAGAACACAGCTCCGAGCTGCAAGCATGAACTCTGTAAACAACTTGAGACTGGTGAAACACAGTATGTAGACAAATATTTATGAAAGCTCGATTGGTGCGCCTGAAAGCACCATCCAAGCACACCGACTGTAAACTAAAGCAAACATATACATGGTAATATAATATTTTGAAGAGCACAAAGTGAAGCTGTGATTTAGTACACTGGAGTCTGTAACATATTAGTGATATAAAAATGTGAGTCTCTGCATAGATAACGTCTCATCAGCCTCTCAAGACATACATTTAATTTCTGTCCTTTTATTATTTCTTTTGCTGGGACGAGATTAAAGATATACTATGCAGGATTTTCTGTAAAAAAAAACAATCATACAATCCCTGGTAATCCCTCTCAATCATCACTTTTGACCCAGAAGACATGCGTGGCATTATATTTATCTGCATGTATCTTCTCATTTTTCTCTCATGTTGCTGTGTTCAGGATAAGGCTGCAACTAATCATTATTTTTATTGCCCATTATTTTCACGAATAATCCAGCTGATCTATAAACTGGTGAGAAAATGGTGAAAATTGTCAATCAGTGTTTTTCAAAGCACAAGATAACATCTTCAAATGTCTAGTTTTGTCCATAATCCAAAAAAAGATTCAGTTTACTGTCACAGAGGAGTAAAAAATAAATATATTTACAGAAGCTGGAAGCAAAGGATTTTAAGTTTTTTCCTTAATTCTTAATTAGTCAAACTAAGTTATTGATTGGCAAATTAGTTAGTGATTGACGTAACATTATTTTTTTAGCTTTTTTGCCTTTATTAGAGAGGACAGATGGACTGACATGATATGGGAAACAGAGAGTAAAGGGCTGTGGGATGGATTCAAACCCATGTGGCACACCCCAGCAATCAACTACTCAACTACTACAATCAACTTATTTTTGCAGCTGTAGTTCAGGAAGCTTCATGGCTGCAACCTTTGAGCATTGGTGTGTAACCCCCAGCCAATAACAGTACGCAGGTAAGGTCTGGACTTTACAAGGTACCGATCAGGTGCTATATTGCAAGAAAATCACAGACACATGCATACCAAACACAGAAATATTGAGGTGAACGCCAAGTGGACAAAACCTGCTTGAAAACGAGGGTGAACCTGGGGTTGACATAGTGGCCAAATGTGGAATTACAACATCTGGTGTTTTTTTGAGCATCACAACCCCTGCTAAATGACTTGTTTTATTACTGGGATTTGATCCATTTTGTCCAATAATGTTTCTAAACTGTAAAAAAGCAAGTTATTGGAGGACTTAACCAGAAGTTCTATGAACCACTGAGCAACTTTCATATGAATGAATGGGGCCCCGCCTCCAACGCTGTATCTAGTTCTCTCATACATTTATAGTATGTACAGGCAGTGCAAGACAGAGTTTGAATGATGTGCTTACAAACAGTACTGACAATTCCTGCATAGTATACCTTTAAAGAAAAGGTTTTAGATTATATCCTCCTATCTAAATAATTCCTGTGAAAGCCTCTTGGGATTCCAAGATCATATTATTGAGAAATTGACCGTAACTCGATATTAGCATTCAGAAGCAATGCTTGAGTGAGGAAACGCAGAATAAAACCGCTTTCTGTGAGTCTAAATCAAATATCAGCTCCATTAAACATCCCTTTTTTTCAAATTCCTACAAATTAATTACTTATGGGACTGACAGAAACAAAGTTAGTGTTTCTGAGAAATGGTTTCAAACACACACAGAAGTCTTTCACTAATTTTTCAAAAGCAGAAATTGTTCAATAATTACTTCTTGGAGGTTGAGGAGGTTAAAAAAAAAAAAAGACTTTGCTCACAACATCTGAATGTAAACAGCCTCGTCTTTGAGATTCACATCTGTCTGGCAGTGAAGGTGAAAATATAAAGCTCATCAGAGTTTCTGCTTTTACTTTGTTTTCAATGTTTTAAAGTAGTTTGGATCCTCTGCAACATCATTAAATGACAGAGACTCTGTTTATTCATCTACCCACCACTGACACCAGCACCACCACCTGCCAATTAGATAATCAAAATAAGTTTCTCATTAAAATCCTCAGAATATCTTTTATTTTGCAGCACTGATTTAGTCCTGCGGCACTGTTTTAAAATAAGGTAACACTGAGTGGAAATAGTACCCCCTAAATTACACAGTACAGCCTGTCCTTGTAGGAATTTGTTGCATAAATATACTATCACATGGATACAGATTTTTCAGGCTGTTCATCCTTTAAAACATGCCTGGGGATGTAACGGTTACATTCCCATGAATAACTGTCACGTGCAGGACATTACGGCGCTGATGTTTCATGGAGGGGGCTTCTGAGTAGTTTGAAATGAAATTCCCCTGAAAATCAGATTTGTATGAAATGCATTTTTCTCAAAGAGACAGTCACAGGAAAAATTAGCTTCTTCCAGAACAAAACAGGAGCAGAGCTGAGAAGCAAAAGAGGGTGTTGATTCTGCGCCTGCTGTGACTCAGACAGGTTAAGAGGTTTCAGAAGGCATGAGCCAACGCCACAGTGATTTCCTCCTCTCCATGACTGGCACTTATTTGAAGAGGCTGGGTGAAGGAGGCTGCTTTCATTGTACAGGCTTTACCTGCTTCCATACAGTAGTACACCCATACACCAAGAGTGAGGCTTGGGTTGCCGTTTAAGTCCTTCATAGTAGCTGGAAGTTTGGTTGAGATGGAGAGGGGCTTCGACAGATCCATGATGTCACCAGTGACCACCGGACTTTCTAGCAGCCATTCGTTACCTGTGAAAAACAGGAAACGGAATTATGTCTAACAAAAACAAAAACAATCCTCAGCTTGGACCCAGATCAGACACAATGTGTCATGTGCTGAAAGGGCGTTGTTGGTATTAAACTGTCTTTCAGGCATCTAAATTTATGGTTGAGTGTGGCAAGGTGCACCCCGTGTACTAGATTGGCTCGAGTCAGAGCACTGCTAAATGTAGTCTTCTACAATATTACTCACAAATAACCCCACTGAATCAGATGTGGAGAGGGTAAGGACATGAATTTACTGGGGGATATTTTTAGAAACAAATACACATTTAGAGTGATGTAACCACTGAAGGATGAATGAAAGTCAAAAAGCAAAGCCGAGAAACCTCGACTGTGAGAAAATATTATGCCAGTGAGACCATCAAATCCATGCCAGCGGTGATTAATGACACTGATTTCGAACTTGAGGTCTCTGGGTAGCCATTTCTAAAAAGCCACTAAAAAACAATTTAAATCTGCAGTGCACTTCTAACTTGATCCATTAAAATTCCTGCCTCTGCTCTGATCTGATCAGCATAAGTCTAGACTGGGTATAATCGGACAGTGGAGGATCACGTAACATAGCCTGGTAGCTAATTATGTGAACCAAGGCATGTCGTCTTATCAAAATGTTCTATAAATAGCCTGCTGATATCGATGGCTGCATGCAGCATCGCTCAGAATGATGGAGAGACTTTTGCTCCAAACCTAATGAACGGACCATTGCCTGCCACCAACATGGTATCTCAAATCACTTCACACTCTGTCGTAGGGTCGGACTATTGTTGATTACTATTTGAGAGCACTGAAGAAGGCCCTTTGAGTAGTATTTAACAGTAGAAAGCATGTATTAAATTGCCTCCATGGTGCTTTAGAGGAGTACCTGACTGATCTAAATATTTCTCCAGTATAAATCCCAGGCGTGGGCCGGCACAGTGAGAATCTGCTTGTTGTAAAGTGAAAACAACGTGAAGGTTAAGCATCATTCAGTTCCATTATTTTTTAAGAGAATCGTGGATCACGGACTAAAATAAAGACAAGAAGGAGAGGTTGAGAGGTTCACATTCAGAACAAGGTTATTATAAATGAAGAGAGTAAGTTTGGGTTGCAACTCTGACTCAACCCTATCAGGTGAAACTACAGCAAAGCATGCAGCTTTTGAAACCTACTGAAAGCAAAAGTTCTAAATATTAACAAACCAGTCACTGGAGAGACAATGCACTTAAACAAAAGCAGCTGATTCCAGCGTGGAAATGAGATCATTTTTACGGTAACACCCTGACCGTCTTCTTGCTTAAATCCCTCCACTTCTCCTCAATTAACCTTTTGCAGCAGATATTTATCAAGTCTTTGTCAGATACTGCTGTCTTTGCAGAACTGACTATTCCATAAACCCCTGCCTTGAACACCTTTTGTCCATTCATAGCTTAGCAACCGTAACCAGGCACAGCAGGTCTGTCAAGGCTTGAGTTTCTCCACATGTTGACGCAGTGTGCAGGAGGCTGTAGCAAAAGTAATATTTAATATACAAAGAGTCTGTGCTCATGTTTTTGCTTTATTTTGTTACAAAACCAACTAGAGTTACTGTCCTGTGGTTGAATGACTCTGCCAAACATTTAAGTTTGCAGTTTTGCTAAGTCCAATTTGACGTTTGAGCCAAATTTGAACAAATTTCCTCAAGGTGTTTGTGGGTTATCGCCTTAACACCCAGGCAGAAACAGAGTTATGTAGTGTATGCAGCCAAATGCAGCCGCTAAACAACCAGTCCACAAGCGCATGCTGCAGCACAGGAGAGCCAGCCATTGGGTCAAGACTCAACTGTCCATTTACATCTAAAGGAGAAGGGACACTCTTCAAGGACAGCAATGTTCATATCTTGGCTAGGGAAGAAAGATAGTTTGAAAGAGGCAAGAAAGAAGCCATCTACGTCAAACTGAGACGACCTTCATCAAACAGAGGAGGTGGCCTATGACACTACTTATCACCCACCTTCAATGCAGTCTTGGGATCCCTCCCCAGACAAGTTAACACCCATTCACACCTGGTCCCACCTGACCCTAACGACACACAACATGGCCGGGCACGATACAGCACTTAGGATATTGCCTTAATGAGAATGGAACATGCGGACATAGAGATGGACAACCCAAATACATAATGCCTTGGCGCAGAGGCATTAAAATTCAAGAGTGAAAGTGTTGGTGATTGATTCACTGCTGTTTGTCTGTTCTAATGTAAGCTGTAACCTTAAGTGTGTTCGGTTAATTAGCTCACCACCTACAGAAGTAACACGAGTATAAATTAAATGTTCTCTTATCACACTGTCCTGGTTATGATAAAAAAAAAACGGAGCTTTGCATGGTAAAACAAAGACAATGGTGCTCCTTTTTTTCCCATACTCCTACATGTATGCATGTGGCTATGCTCTCTGTTCACATAACATGTTTTTATTGTCTGTACCCAGGTTATGTACAGAGTTTGGCAAGTGAGCATTTATGTATGCAGCTCCTTTTATGTGGAATCTCTCGGTCGTTACAAAGCACTGTTGCAGGAGTTTATATTAACATACTTTTTGGCTTTTCTTTTAAGTAATCTTACTTTGTGTTTTATATTGCTTTTTTTTTAAAGATTTAAATTCTTCTGTGTTGTCTGTCTGTAACTGATGTTGCTGCCTGTCTTGGCCAGGACACTCTTAAAAAAGAGATTTTTAATCTCAAGAGGTTTTTCTGGTTAAGTAAAGGTTAAATAAGTCAATAAAATGCAACCAGTGAATGCAGAATGGAAATCCTTTCTTGTTTAAAAATGGTTCAGCTGAGAGTTTTCAACCAAGTCATGGAGCTAATGCTTTTTTGTAGTTCGCTAAATTGGTTAGCTATGACAAAATACCAGCGATTCTTATCGTTAAAGCCGTCAAAAACTGACAGTTGCTGGCCAGAATGGAGACTCCTGCTTTCTCTCAAACTCTGTGCGAAATCAATGCCCCACTGTTTCAAAAATGACCAAAAAATTTGAGTGTTAAATCTGCCTCCTTTATCACTGTAAACTGCACCATGTGCAATGCCACGAAGATTATTTTTTGGCATTTCTGCTTTATTTTTGGTAGAAAGAGACAGACAGCAAAGACAGGAGATGACATGCAGGATAGAGCAGTACGCCATCAGGGCACCCCAACAACAGAGAACTTGACAGGTGCAGCAACAGTAACGGGGCCAGGCTTACACCTCTTCCTAACTGGACGTGAACTAGAACTCGATGAGGGCCCGACAGGCTCCCTGAATGTTGTTGTTACTCGTAGTATAATTGGACAAGTTTTCACACTAGGAAGAGGTGTTAGCCAATGGCAAGGTGCCTCTTGTGGTTATAAAATCAATTGTACTTGCAGGATTAACACTGACACGTATTTGTAACAATGACTTTGTCTCACCCTCGGCTGAGAGAGCCCAGCAGCTGGGGGCCTCTTCTGTAAGTTTGGTTCCTTCTGGAAGCGACAGCGTGAGCGACATGACGAGAGTCTGGCCTGCTGACACTGCCACTGGTGGCATTTCTTTCCTGGCGGCTGATTTAGGCAGCGTGGGGGCTTTGACGGGCAACAAAGGCTTTGAAGGTACCGCATCTACGCACTCCGTGGAGATGGGGAACTGGATGGGAGAGAGATTTGAATGTTTGGGTTAGAGGGGGGCAAGGAGAAAGCTACTGACACATGCAATGTCCTTTCTCTTCTAGCTTTCAGGGTAGATTTATTTCAAACAAGTGGACAAAATGTGATGTGCATTCTCAAGGTTAGAACACACACACACATCTCACCAGTGAGACAGTCTTGGAGGACAGGTCCAGCACTTTGATTTGGTGGTTGTTGGTATCGGCCACGTAGAGAAGCTTGCCATTGTCGCCGACGCAGAGTCCTCCGGGTTCATTGAAGCAGGATTTGTTAAATTCAGGGCCAAGAATGTCTCCAGCCTCTCCAGTCCCTGCTAATGTGCTACACTGCTTTCCCTTTGGATCCACCACCTTGATCTGAACATAATTACACAGGCACATAGATACAATCACACAAAAAGCGCAAGTCCTGTATGTTCCCTGTATGGGTGTTAGATCAAAAGGAAATACATGCTTTGTGCATCCACTCAACGACCTAAAGGAACTCATTATAACAAGAAAAGCATCAAATGTGAGCACTCTGCAGCTTTGAACCGCAGCCTTGTGATGTGCAGCAGTTACCTTGTGGTTGTAGGAGTCGGCCACATAGAGCAGGCTTTGTTTGGGAGCCCAGGCGACGCCGAGAGGATGCTGCAGCTTGGCGTCCACCCCTTTCCCATCTATATCGCCGAAACCGAAAAGGTTCTGGTTCAAAAGAAGAGATCAAATTAAGATAATAATGCCCAAGCGGCAACTTGTGACCCCTGTGTCTAAATCTCAACATAGGTCAAAGAACAACACATCCAATCTAAATTTATGAACCGCCTCTAACTGAATTAAAACATTTTCAGTTTAGTTAAGAGAAGAAAAGGAGGTTTTTTAACCATCGAGATAAAGCACTCTCTTCTGAAGCCTTTCCCATAAAGTGAAAATGATCACTTTTTATTTGAAGACTTTTTATTTGACTTAAAATAAAAACATTAAAGCAACACGGGCTTCATTATTTTAAAGGTTTCTGAATAATTCATATCAGTAACCACTTTTGTAAGAAACACCAGAGAGATAACAATATCTTTAAATCGCATTAGTCACCGTGCTAAAAATAGTTAGATGAGTCATTTTTGGGAAGTTTTGCAGCAAAGCACAACATTAATGATAAATGCCATTAAAATACAACAAATGGGAACATTCATCCGGTTCTTACTGACAGTGACCAGAAGCAGACAGCTCAGATTGTTTCAGGTCAACATGACCCAAACAGATAAATAACTATTATGGCCAATTAACAACCAATTTGCTAAGAATCGGGAAGAACTGAAATAAACAGCCTCTCATTCTGTATCAGTCCGCTGATAAATAAAAACAAAATCAGAGACAACGATTTCATAAAAGGTCTCATGATTCTCTACGGCTCGCTGACTCTCCACAGTTCTGAAAGAGAGAAAATCTTTGAGAAAATCTGTTATTGCACAAGCAGAAGCACATTAAAAACGCCAGCGGGTTCACTTGTGCTCACATGTTCACCTTCACCGCGGGAGTGTGACCTCTATTTCAGATTGTGATGCAGCTGTTCACAGAAATGTGAAAACATTGTGTGAAGGATGTGCTTGAACTAGGACAGAAGAAGAATGGGATATAAGGAGAGCTAAATAAGTACCCTGTGTTTTTTTACTAACCTGTTATTTTTCATTATTGTCTATTTTTTCACCTGTCATGTCATTATCTGGGTCATGTGATGGCCTCCTATTGGTTCCTGCTACTATAGGTTGGGACAATACCTGTGTTGTATTGAAAAAGCCCTGATGAGGACCTGCAGTGGTCAAAACATGTTGGCCCTTTAAATGATTTAACCACAACAACAACAACAACAACAACAACAACAACAACAACAACAACAGCTTTTTATTTTTCTTTACTCATTTTCTATATTTTTTGGAATGCCTGGATTGCCTTCCTGTCAATCCTGTTGTTTCCCGTTTTCCACGAGCAATCAACACAAGGTTTTGATGTACGTTTTCTATATACAGATCAACCACTCGTTTCTCTCTTTTTGAAAGAGCTATAGATGTACTGAAACACAGCAAAATGCCCATACAAAGATCCCTGCTGTTTCTCACATGCTAACTTTGAGAAAAAATACAGGCATTTTGAAAACTTAGCTTTTAAACTTAAAATTGTGATTACAAAAAGAAAATTAAAATTAAATTAAATTAAATTAAATTATTATTATAATTAATAATAAGAACAACAACAGTGATAATAATAATAATAATAATAATAATTGTAAAATTTAAAATTAGATTAAATTAAAAACAGGAAAAAGACAATGAATAAAAAAAATTAATTAATGGGGTTAAAGGAATAGTTGGACATTTTGTGTGGAGTACACTTTCACTAACTTTCTTGCCGACAGTAAGATGAGAAGATCATCTATATGCTAAATATGAAGCCATAGCCAGCAGATGATTAAATTAGTTTGACAAAAAGACTGAAAACTGGGGGAAACAGCTAGCCTGGAATCCCCAAACAGCACATCTAGAGCTCACGAATTAACCAAATGGCAACCTCTGGGGCTGATAAAATGAAGCCAATGTCAAAAATTGCAGTTCCTCAAATGGCCACTTGAGGCTGGGTCCAAAGCAAGAAAATCCCCATAGATCCCCGTGTTAAAGGGATAGTGCACCCAAAAATGAAAATTCAGCCATTATCTACTCACCCATATGCCGAGGGAGGCTCAGGTGAAGTTTTAGAGTCCTCACATCACTCACATAAAACGTTGTTTGGAAAAACGTCATTTGAACTCTGTTTTTAGCCTCATGTGTCTCATGTGCGCACTTGCGCTCAAGACCAGCGAAAGCACATGAACACACATGAACGCAGTGCCCATGTCCCACGGCCTCGCGCAAGCACGCACACGTGACCGTGATGTACAGAGAAGCAGTCAGAGCTGCAGGCTACAATGAGGCTAAAAACAGAGTTCAAATGACGTTTTTCAAAGCTTTTTATGTCGGGGCTTCAGGACACTTGATCACTACGGACGAGCAGTATGGAGATATTTTGTGGTTTCAATTATGTGTTTTTGGACGTTTGAATCTGGGGCGCCGTAAGCCCCCATTAGGTGGAGTCGTGTTGCTACCCCCTCTCCCCTGGGATCTCCGCAAGTCTTGTGAAGACTCTACAACTTCACCTGAGCTTCCATCAGCATATGGGTGAGTAGATAATGGCTGAATTTTCATTTTTGGGCACTATCCCTTTAAAATGCACAGCCTTACAGCAGAAATAAACATGTTTATGGTCTGGTACAAAAACAGTTTTGGTCTCTATAGCTGATTTCCTACTTCATGACAACTGTGCATGGGTACATTTTTATATAACTCACCTGTGTGAATATTATCAAGGTTTAAAGTTATGTATAATATGTATGTATGGTATAGATGTAGCTGTAGCTGTTGCTATTGCAGTGTGTTTTCAGTTCATGAAAGTTAACTTTGTACTGAAAGACCGTCTCAGGAGTCAGATATTTGGCTTTTCTGGACAGTACATATTGTTATATTGGTTTTAAGGCTGATTTTTAGAAGCCTAAATTAGCATTAGCATTATCACAGTTAACAACAGATATGCACCATGCTAACCAAGCTTGCAGCTAGGGTTAGCTAGGGTTAGCTCCACCCTCTCGTCCAGGTATAGGCTGTATCTGAAATCATTCACTCATTCATAACTCTCTATATACTATAGAGGGAGTTCTATGTTGAGGACTACAAAGTGAGTCATCTAGAACATCAAAAAACTCTTTCGGACACTACACGGTCATCTCCTCTGCGTTATTAGTCATTGCCGTCCAATGATTAAAACGTGCCACATCAACGATGGTTTCCCAAAATTAATTAATAATAAATAAATAATGTTACACAGTACTTTGTAGCAGTTTGTGTTGTGTTGTGATGCACTGTTCTGCTCACATTAAACATAGGCCTATTAATAAAGTAACCCTGGCAGACATACAAGAGGAAAGAGAGTAGCATGATTGCAAACTGTCCCATTAATATAAGTAATTTTCCATTTTCCATTTGATATGCTGACATTTGTTTCACCAGCTAGTCATGTAATACCTTGGGGATATAATGTGTGACCTTATGCATGAAGCCTTTATGGTACAAGTCACAGCTAGTAGCAACCCAGCTTGCTAATTTTAGTCCATCTCTGTGCAGTAATCTTTAACTCAATTATGAGTTAAACATATACAAGAGGCTGTAACTGAGCTGTTTTCTCTCCTCTCATCCGTATCTGCTGCCATCTCATACAGTCCATCTGTTCCTTTGGCGCGGTGCATGATGGGATATATTGCTTGGTTAGTGACCATCGGTTGTACACTACTACAAAATTCTACTACAATATTCTCCTATATACCGAAGGCTTTTTGGCTAATAGGTGGGCTGTGTCCCCCTGTCTCCAGTCTTTTTGCTAAGCTAAGCTAAATGGCTGCTCTCTGTAGCTATATATTAGAGTGTTATTGATCCTCTCACTAACAGTAACTCTTGGTGAGAATGTGAAACGTTGAAGTGCTCCTTTAAATACTTAAAACACTGTATTGTAAAGTGAGGAGAGCTCAACTCACAATATATTTTAATGGTTTTTGCTGACTCATGGACAAGCTGAATAAATGGTATACGACTCTCCAGTTAATTACTCCCCGCTCTCATGAGTGACTACTTCAGAGCTCTTAGGACTTTCCAAAAATACTCCAGTGTGGCAGAATGAAAAAAAAAAAGAAACCTACAGCAGCACAACTGTGAGGACATGAAAGTAATTTCTCAAAAAATGTCTTCAGGCTTTGTTTCAGCCACAAACAAGAGTGGCTGTGTTTATTTATGGCTTTTTGTCTTTTAAATCAATATTTTCTATCTATGAAGAAATGGCCCTGAAACCTTGTGATTGCCCAGGAGTGATGCAAAATGTTGTGCAACATTTTTCTTCATAATTGTCCGAGTGTTTTCTGTGGCTGGAAATGTAGCAGATGAATGTGCAGGTTGTACGGCATGTGTGTTTGCTGCTGATGGATGGGGGCACAGCCAGGTTCAGGACATATTGTCGTTTAAGGTATCTCATGAGAGTTTCTTGTTTTGGGAATGGACTTTTAATTCCCACTACCTGCTGTTCAAGCTGCTGTTCACTGCATTGTCTGGAAGATTATTAGATGATACATTCTTCTTTTACAGAGACACTACAATTGACAAAAAATGCTAACCAGGTAGAAGAGAATTAATTCAACCAAAGAGGAAAACTCTATTAAAGCTGGGGTAGGCAATGTGTCTTGGTGTCATTGGGCAAAAATGCCATATTAATCTTTGAGCATAGTGTAATTCAAGTTGTCTAAGGGGCCACTATACATCTTCTCTTAGCTCTGTTTTTAGCCTGTGACAGGGAGAAGGTGCTCCTACTGGCTGTGCAGATGCAAATGTGCATCCTTTCAGATGGTGAAAGCCTGATTCAATGGCGGAAATGCTGCAGAAAAAGTTGCTATTCCAGCATAGGCTACAACTAATTGCATTACAAAGCGACCAAAATAAATAAAGACGGACTTGTTAGAAGAGAATTCAAAAGAGAGTCTGACAATAAACGAAATAAAAGTGTTTCTGGGAAGGAGCAAAAATGCGCTAACTGGAGCCAAATTTTTTTGCAGGTGCGTCACGTTTTTGTAGCTAGAGCCTCAAATCACAGCATGTCACCTCAAAGGGCTTTACAAGATGGTACTTCTCATGGAATTGCCACTTATAAGAGCATCGGGATCACGATGACAATCAGAATGATTAAAATTAAATACAAGTATTCATACAGGTTATTGTAAGAAGTGTGTGCTTATGTGATCATCTGGTGGGAGGGGCTAAGGTCAGGAAGGGGAGGGCTGCAGGTCGCTGTGTAATCAATCTACTGTTTATTTAATCATTTTAGTTATTTGACTGTAGTTAATAGCTAGTTCCTAAAATGGACAGGCAGAGGCTACTTGCCGTAGCTCTGGCTGAGGGTGAGAGGCTGTCAGTAAACAGTTTGTTGGGCACAGGGAAATGGAGATCTGTGTGGGTACATGAGCCCCTAAAAAAGAGAGTGGGTAATGGGGAGTACCACCAGTTGGTCCAGGAGCTTCACCTCCGTGATGGCTGTTTCCAGGCATATTTGAGGATGACTCTGGGCAGTTTGACAACCTGCTGCCTATGGTCGGGCCGTATAGCTCTGGGAAGCCAGCAACCGCTACCACCAGCTTCTCCTCCATTGTTTACCAACTGTAAATGTGTCGTGACCATGACGACACAAGAGATGACGTGGGGCGTTTATTCGCTCTGAGTCGAAGTTTCTTCAACGCGATGAGTTTAGAGAGCTACAGCAAAAACGCCAGGCGCGTCGCAATGCAAAAAACTGCGAACAAAAAGCTTCATTCTTATTAAAATCAATTACAAAATGGCGCCTCAAGCTGCTAAAACGCTTTCTGTGTGATCAGGGCCTGAGGCTGTGCTCTGAATTATTAACTTTCAGTACGTCCAGAAGTTGCCTTTACAAAGTACGTACTGTTGTATGGCATAGTCATACAACTTGGACAGACTACTTTGTCTTGGCATTGTGCCTTGAACTTTGACCCTCTTGCTCATAAATCTGTCGCATTTGAAGTATAAAAAAAGTAAGCAATTTGGAACACAGTATGTATTTTCAAATTCAGCTTCAAAGACACTTCCGATTCATTTGGTGCTTGTTCTCTGTGGCTGGTTGGACATGAACCGCCTGACCATAATAATGTAATGAAATCAACTAAAAGGTATTTATTACAATTATGAAATGATGTGAAGAAATCCATTCCATCCATTCATTCAGTTATACATTCATCTAACATGCTGTCATCCATCCATCAACTGCTGCACACCCACCAGGGGGTCTCTCTCTCCCCCGACCAGCAATTTGACGGCTCCATCCTTCAGTGCCAGCGTGCGGATGGTGCTGCTTTCGCTGTCGGCCACGTACAGGCAGCCCCAGGGCTCCTCCGGGGCTGGAGCCAGGCCTGAAGGCTGAGCAAAGCCAGCCTTGTGGGGGTAGGCGTTGTTTCGATTCTCCTCGTTGCCGCTGCCTGCCCATCGCACGCACGTCCCTGCCTTGGACTCACTGTTTACATTTTGAAATAGACATTACAAAACACTTGCATACATTGCTGGATATAAGGAGTACATTCTCCCTTTTTATCATTTCTATTTGCTTATTTAGTTATTAGTGACTCAGAGAGGCTGCAGCCAAGAGGCCATGGTGGTCATGTGTCAGTCTCTCACCTTCCTTTGGGCAGTTTCCCATCTGCCAGGAACAAAGCCCAGATCTGGTGGGTCCCTGCCATGGCTATCCACAGCACGTTATCTTCATCACCGCCTACACATACAAACACACACAAAAACAAACTCTCTTTGAACCAGGAAACTTTTAAGACAACATTTTTGTCCTCAAAGGTGAAATGTCCTTTCAGATGTTTAGACTAGTATTACAACGAAATATGTCTGCTGACTGAGACAATAAGTTGTGATTGTTTGGTGAAGGCGGGGTGCCAAAAATTGAGTCAGAAATGCAGCTGTGCAGGTTTAAGTGACGGCAGCCTCACTGACAAAGGCTGTATGCCGCCTCAGATGCATTCAGCAGAGACAATACTGTCATCATGATAAACACACAACCCTTACAGACATGCAGTATCTCAGTTGTATTTTTAATGCAGCGCAGAGCTCGGGCCTTCTTGATCACATCTGGCGGACTGTCAGCAACATCTGACAGCATCAATTTCACTGTGGTTCTTTACAGTTCAAAAGGTGTTGGGTCCTCTTAATTATTCATACATATGGGGAATAAATCATGAATATGCAATGAGTGTTTGGATGTACTCTCAGAGGACAATGTTGGTGGAGTTAAAGGTCTGATATCACATCCCCAAACCTTGTGGTGATGTGCAAACCAGCAGGTTGTGTCATCCATCAAGCCGTTCATTACATGATCCCATGACTGATTATCTTGTGCTTACAGGCTGTTTGCAGTGAGAAATAATCGGACTTATGGCCCTAAATTTTTTGGAGTTAATGCTTTAAATTCACTGTGATTAATAATTCAAACTAACATGTGACACCTGACTGTTGATGAGTGTCGTACACGCCACAGGCAGAATAAACAGCTCTGTCCAGGCGTACACTTTCATCCTTTGTTTAATTAGGTGCACAACATTAATGGGGCAGTCACAACACATGCTTACATTTTACTTTAACTACAACTGTCGGCTCTTACAACACCTCAGAGCCCTGTTTTAATGATCTATAATGCATGGTGTGAGGTGCATTTAGGACTTGTTGACAACTTTTGCTGGTTAAACGAAGCGTAACCTGGGCGCAAAGTGGGTGTAAGAGGCAAAAGGGTTGTATTTAGTCCCTTAATTAATTCATCATAGGTGTGTTTTGGGGCATAATATAAATTCAACCAATCAGTGTGTTATCTCCCATTCCCTTTAAGAGCCAGGCGTGCCTGCAACTGTAGAGTAATGCAGTAAGTATTGTCACTGCAGCAAATATCGTGGGACATTTAAGCTGCAAAACTAAGAGCTTTGGTTATAAACTTGACAGAGGAAACAGAACTAAACTTTTAACTTCTGGAATAATCAATGAAGTAACACTGCTCCTGGTACATAAATGCACACAGTGTCTCTCTTTATGGGGAGTCAGACAGCAGCCTTGCAGCTCTAATCTGCTATGTTCACACTTTATAGAATGCAATTGATATTTTCCTCATTAATAAATGGTTATTTTACCGACCAAACCCATCCACGCGCTGTGGACCAGCCTACGCTGACGCATCTTGCTATCTGAATATTGTGCCCTTTAAATATCAAGGAAGTACTTGGACTTTGAACCACGCTTTTGTTCGTCAATGGCACAATGGCTTTCTGCTGCCTCCAAATAGCAATACGTCAACAACGCGCCTGACCACACCTCATTTTAAGACCTACACACCCAGGGATGCACTGATGGGCACAAGTCCTACTTGAGCATGATTTCTGCAGAGCCTGCGCTGTAGCCTACGCAAGTGGTCTAGGGCGTTTTGAGTATTTATACTTGTGCAGTGGTGTGTCTGTGTCACTGTGCAGTTACACCTCCAAAACACTAGTCGGTGTTGGAGGTTTCTGTGAAGTGCTGTTAAGTTTAGTTGATTCAAAACACACACTAAACACACACTAAACATGGCTTAATAGAGAGAATCGGAAGTACACAAATCAGCTTTTCTATAACTCGCAGCATTCACAGACAGACACTTGTCTATCTGGACACATTTTTCCCAACAAATACAACATGCTAACGTTATTAGCACAAGCCTATGGCATTTTACATTGTATATATTAGCCTAGCAGCTTGTGATCTTTTCCTTTTCTCATATGAAGCCAGGAGCAACAGCAACATTTGACAAAGGTAACTGTACATAATTTGGCTCCCTTACAACTCACAAGGTTCACCAGCACAACAACTGTCTTATTCTAAACACATATTTCCCACAAATATAACATGCTAACGTTATTAGCACAAGCCTATGGCATTTTACATTGTATAAATTAGCCTAGCGACGAGCGGAGAGTTCCTCTGCTCATGTGAAGCCAGGATACATCCCACACACAACTTAAAATGCTATTTTGTGGAGGCTTTATTGTCTTTACAATTTATTGTTTCTTTTCTGTGAAATTTAAGTGTCTGTGCCATGACATTTTTGAAGAGGTGCACTCCGGCTAGTGCGTAGGGTACGGCATAGGCTCTACATTGATGTAAAGCCTGCATGAAAAATAAATAAATAAATAAATAACTGGCTATTAAGGGCTTGTAGTTTTCTCCGAAAGTGAAGAAAGCAAAGAAATTAATAGACATTTTTAAATAATATTCACTTAATGACCAAAACATAAATAAGGCTCAAGTTGTACATGATAACCTCATATTCAACATGTCTAAATGATAACAGCCTGGAGAGCAGAACAATAACGCCAAATTTAGCAGCAACATACAGTACTGTCTGCAAGGTGTATATATTGTTTTAAGGAATCTGCTGGTATGGCCTCTGTGTGTGTGTGTATGACAACAACTCTATGCTGACTGATGTAGAATCTGCAATGCCCATAGGTAACAAGGCCTGATGGCAACACAACACATACACTCAACACTTAGGGACAAAATGTCTGCGAGATTCAAAAGCTGAGTTAAAAAAGCTTTCTGCTTTGATGAAAAAAGGTAATGTGTGACAACTTTGTACAAAAGATCGATAATAAAGAAACTCTGAATGCCAAAGGCAAAATAATAAGGCGAAGTATTCAGAGAGGCAAAGCTGGAACTGGAAGTCTGAGATTACTTTGTAGGAAAATGAAAAGACCTTGTCAGGTACTTCACAGTCGTTTGTGACTTGTGCAGTTTTGATCCCATATTGATTTTTAGCCTCAGAGTGATTCAGTAGAGCTAAAATGAGGGATTTTGGCAAAGAAGTTTACTGAGCATCCCCCATGGGTGACATCCTAAACTGTAGATTAAATAACTTTAAGTGGAAACAGACATGAAACACAGCTACGGTACAACCTCATTTCTAAAATAACTTTAAGTGGAAACAGACATGAAACACAGCTATGGTACAACCTCATTTCTAAATGAAAAGGCTGCCGAGACACTGATTCATGTCTTTATTTCAAACTGACACTCTTTTTACTGGCCTTTCAAAAAACACCTCTGAGAGACATCAGCTCATTCAAAACTCTGCAGCTTGGCTACAAACCAGAACCAAGAGGAGAGAGCATGTCAGGCCAGTCTGAGCTGCTCTGCACTGACTTCCTGTTACATTTAGAACTGATTTTAAGCTCCTCCTCCTTGTATACAAAGCCCTACATGGGCTGGGGCCGAGCTACATTGCTAACTCCCATTAACTATTTGCCTCCAAGAACACTGCGAATGCTAGTTTCAAACAATTCCTCTAAAGGTGTGATCACCCTGGTCTTTTCTTATCGGGTGAGATGTAGCCACTTCCTGTTGTTTACAGACCTCCGTTCCTTTATCTACACCTCAGTCTGACTGAACTGTGACCTGTGAAATGATGAGACCCAAAAATACCCAGGCAATCTGAGACAAGAAGGCTGCACTATCCTCTGTTTCTCTCTCAAGAATTATTGATTGCGTGGCAGCGTTCAGAAATAAAACAGGTGACGAGAGCAAGGGAGGCACAGAGGGGAGAGACAATAAAACATCGCCCTTCTGGTTCCTGTCCGACCGCGCCACAAGACTCACCAGCGGTGCCAAGAGTCACATCCCAAGGAGAGCTGATGGGCTGCTGAGGTCCCATGGCACCGCCCTCTTTGTCCGTGCCTTGAGATCCAACTCCGGCGAGAGTGCTGACTCTTCCCTCCGACAGGTCAATCTGAAACCCGGACAGACAGGCAGAGATATACGGATAAAAATCAAGTGACATCGAATTTAATTAAAGCAGTGATTTTAAGAGATAGTTTAGGGTGCTACCTTTCGGATCAGGTGGTTTTCGGTGTCAGCCACGTATATAATGTCCCCTTTGATGGCCACACCCTGAGGGGAGTTAAAGGAAGCTTCGGACAAGTCGCCATCTTGTCTTCCGCTTTTAGGCCCTGGGACAGAAATGATAATCACATGAAACTTAAAAGTCTGTGTGTGTGTTACACCATGTGGATGCATCTCTGATGACAGATCAGTTGTTTATATGTCTTTCTCTTCACCACCACTGTCATATTAAAGCTCTACAGGGGAATTTGTGCATCTTCAGACTCGGCGTGTTCAGGTATTTGACATTTATCTGTGGTCCGATGTGACTCATAAAAGTTTTTGACATTGACAGGTTACTAAGCAACAGCACTTTAATTGTTCCTCACATATTCACTTATCTTTCAGTTAACACAAGAGGTGGATTGAGGCATTTTTTTTTTAATCTTCCCTGCCTGAAAAGATATGACTGATGATTTTATGATTACTAATACGAGGGATTTGTACAGGCGTACTCGCCCATTAACAGCTGGAGCACAGGTGGCCTTCACTTTCTGTAAGTGCCATAATTACTTGAGAGTGTGACTGATTTTTAATCTACTGTCCTTATAGTGCATTAACAAATGTGCTCAGGATGATTTGATACAGAAACAATTTGCTTGACGCTTCAAACTTCTTACACAAATAAATGTTCTTTTTTTTTTAAACCTCAATTTGTCCACAGTAAGAACAGTGCCAGTCCCCAGTGTGTGGTCGTCCCTGTTGTTGCCAAACTCTGTTGGTCTGGGGACAACACAGTCTGCCACGTAGCTCCAGAAATACCAGTGATGTTTAAAGAAGTATTACACTGCTGGAAAGATGGTCCTTTCATTAAACATGGGCTGTCTATGCAGTAGAAAGCTACGGATACTTTTGAATTTGGTGCAACATGACCAGAGAAAACAAAGTAAAAGGACTGTGACATTCACTACAACCACCAGAATGCACTTGAAACTCATCATCTGGCAAATTTGAGCTGGGAAATGAGCAGGGACATCTGGGTGCTGGCAAGATGGAGGGAAGTTTACCACAGTTCGATCACACATACTACCCACATTCTTATGACACAGAGCTGGTTTAAAATCTGTGACGTTTCCCTTTAAACACCGTTGTTCAATTTGCATGGATTCTAATCATAACAAGGGAACAACAAGACTTGTGGGGTCCTCCAGGAGGAGCTGGAAAACACTGCTGGGGAGAGGGACGTCTGGAACACTTTGCTCAGCCTGCTGCCCCACGCAACGCAACCCGGCTTTGGATAAGTGGTTGCACGCATTCTAATAACTCATGCATTAAATAGCTACTCCACCAACTCAGAGATGATTTCTTTGTGCTAAATGACAAATCAAATAGCACAAAAATCATACTAGTAGGGACACCTTAAGGTTCCACCAAACCCACCCAGATATCTACGCAACTTTAACCTCAATATGACGCATATTTCCATCAAGGGATGGAAATCAAGAACTGGTTCCAAATTGTCAAATCCATTACAATCGTATGCCTCAGAGCTTATCAATTCCTTTTATTGATGCAGCCATGTTTTTATGACAGTTGCCAAAGGTGTAACAATGACATCAAACTCATGTGTTTACACTGCTAGGAACTCCCAACAAGAAGGAGTCACCGTGGAGTCGAGGACACGGTCAAAAGGGTGACTTGATTTCACGAGGAGAGATGAAATGTCTATAAAAATGACAATTTCAAGGGTGGAAACATCAGCAATACGATGAAACGTCTTATGCAATGTAAACTTGAATTTGAGGATTGTCCTGTGTGTGACCCTACGCACGAGTGTCACTGCCTCCAGACCAAGCAGCACAGCCATTACCAAGGGTTGATGTCCTGTTATAATAGCATTAGCGCCACGCAGGCAGGCTTAGCAGGTTTTTTTGCTTAGAAAATAATGAAACAGTTGCGCTGACACTGAAAACCTACACAGAAAATTAATCAGAATCTTATCAGTTGCCATCCCTACAGACACTTATGCAACGTTAAGCCCATTACACTGCAAATCACCATCCAGTTTCCTCCTTCTTACCTCCTATGACATATAACAGCTGTCCAGTTGTGGACACCACCAGAATCTGGTGATGCCCAGTGTCCGCTATGGCCAGTCTTTTCTTGCTGTCGTCTACGGCCACCTTCCCGGGAAAAGACAGGACGCTGGGTGGCAGCGAGTCTCGGTACAGCTTGATCCCCACTTCGTGTGTTTTCAGGAGACCCTGCTCCCCGTAGTGACGGAGGGCGCTGTCAGAGAAAAGCATCAGCCTGTCGCGGTGGCCTTCACCCACCAGGGAGAAGAGCAGGTTGCCACGTGGGCCCAGTAGGACCAGCGTGGGCCAGCAGGACACCTCCAGTTCATGCCACAGGTGTGCTTCACTGTCGTTCACGACTGGATGGCAGATGTCATAGCGGAGCACGGCGCTGCGGACGTTGTCCAGGACCTTTGAAAGGTTGGAGACAAGCATAGACGAATGATCATGTACAACAGAAAGGCATCAGTGCTATGTTTATACAGAATAAATGAGAGGAGAGTATCAGGGGGGTTTTCTAAAGATCTGAGCATGTTTTATGGTCTTACACTGATAACAAAAATAATTTCAGATATGATCATTCTGATAGTTATCAACTGAGCTGCCAAAATCAGACTCTAATTCTGGCACGCTGGTGTAACATTCCAGATTAATGCTTTGGTGCTTTGATTTCCTGCCTGAGGAAAGAGTGGGTCATGTTGTCTTCTATCATGCTGAAAATTACACATATTTGTTGATACTTTGCAGTGATGAAAATGCAGAAAGAATGCACGAGCAGAGCGGCCTACGGAGAGGTAAAAATGATGAAGAACAATGAAAACACTTACCTTCTCATTGGGGAATTTAGCTGAGTGCACACCAACAATAACCAATCCATCTGAGAGGGAGATTAAACAAATAGAGACACAAAGACAAAAATAAAACAGAGCCAAACATAACAGAACAGTAAGTGATTTGACTTATCTGTGCTCACAATAAAAACTTGTCGTGACTTGACATGTGTCCATCTAGTAAAGCTCTAAATCACTGTGTCAACAAGTTGCATAAGCTTGATCATAAACAAGACGCTAACATCACACACACACACGTGCACGTCAAAGAGGATTGGGGAGAAGGAGGGAAACGGATGATTTTCGACTGGAACCCTCGACTGTCTCGCTTTGTTATCAGTGACCCTGCAGCAAAACGACAGCCTCACAGAGGTTCTTGGAAATGTTTAAGCGCCTCCAGGCTGTAAATGTTTTTCACAGCAGTCTTCAAAGACAATGAACACTACCCGTATTGTATCGATGATGAGGGCGATTAGTTAGAATTTGTGACTTTTGGCAAGGACAAACGAATGTCTAAATAGACAGGAACGCCTAAAACTGTGGAAAGAGGCAAGTTTGTGATGCTTTGTGAACACTTTGTTTTGGAGCTAAAATTTGAAGTGGCCTTACATATGAGATATCTCGAGTTTCCTTCCTGTTCTCCGATCCCTGTGGGATTCTTTTTGGAAACACAGTCGCTTCTTTACTCGTGTCATTCTGAGGCACTGAGTCTGAAACTGTTGTGTATCAATGACAAACATGGGTAATAGGCTTTGTCTGTAGACGTTTATCTACATGGTACATGTGACAATTCACGACATACTCTCAGAATTTGAGTTAAACTTGAGCTCAAGTTCAACAAAATTATTCTGAGAACATGTAGGTATGTTTATGACTTGTTACATGTACTCCATAGATCGCTGGTTCCTGACCTGGGGGTCTCAACCCCTACTAGGGGTCACAAAAGCTTCACAGGTGGGTCACAGGGCCTTTTTGGTTTAAGGAGTGTAAGAAAACTTTTTGAAAAGACATTTGCTCAAAATTCATCCAAACCGCTCGTTGTACACAAAACCTCCTGCAGTCATTACGTTTTCAATTTGGTTTAATAGTGCATTTTATCAGTTGATCTGTACTATGACTGTTATGCATTGAATATAACATTAAATACCCATAAAACATGTCACTTATTAGTCACATGATAGAAACGGGGTTGCTTGAGGAAAAAGACTGGGAACCACTGCTATCGATGATCTGTTTAACGTCCACAGAATAAAGTGAAACAGTTTGAACGGTTGAATCTCAACTAATCGATTTAATTCAGGTGAGAAAACAATTTGAAGTAACTTTAATTTCATAATTAATGTGCATATGTTCACGCTATGGCTGTAACTAACAATTTTTTTCATTGTAAATGAATTCGTTGATTATTTACTTGATTAATCGATTAGTTGTTTGGTCAATAAAATGGTGTGTGTCACAACTCACTGTCCAAGAGAAGAGAGAGCAGAAACTGAGAGCTGAAACCATTTCAGATATTCAGAATCAATATGTATCGACTGCACTTGTTGGTGATTCATTTAATAGTAGACAACTAATCGATTAATTGTCGCATCTCTAATTTGCACATAATTAGTTTGTTATTTGTTGCACAAAACAGGCCAAGCTTTTATTTTAATTTACATTTCATCCTGCCTTTTTTATAGCACATAACCGCAGGCTACTTCCACTGACAATGACATAAACAAAAACCCTTGCTCACTCCTGACATTTCCTTTCCCTCACATCACCGAGCCGCCCTTAGACATAAAAACACAAGAGATCCAAACCTTCAAACTCAAACCATCTGCAGCGGATTTCATCACCCGTGCAGTATAGTAGCAGCACAGATTGCAGTGACGATGGGTGGGTGGGTGTTGGACTGTGGGAGTGACTGGACAGGGTGGCTCCCACACCTCACTGACCAGAGCAGCAAACAGAATGTACCCATAGCAGTGCCAAAGATAAGGCGAGTGAGATAATGTGTGTGTGCTCTGCGTCCTGCCTGGCTTGCAACTGAATTTCAAGCTGCATGGCTTCCTCAGATGATCCTGTAAAGGGCCAGCGGGATGAAAGAGTCAGTCGGATGTGATAATGCTCTGCGTGGAGTGGCTATATAAAGAGCCATACAGTGGACTACAGCGGGGGGACAATTATGGGCCCTGTATGCACTTACTTGGAAATATTTTTAGAAACTGTCTCTTCACAGCTGAGATAAGGGTCCTTATGCTCTTGGACAAAAAGAGAAGTCAAGTTGATGTACTGCAGCTCCTTTGCCCCAGTGAACTTACACATGATCCTGTGACGCAGCATGACACATAATATAGATACCAATGGAGTTGTGCTCCCTCCCTGCTGAGCCAGTGCTGCTTTTTATAAGTATACTATTTCTATTAATTTGGCTGTTGCTTGACTGAAACTTGCATTAATGAGCATTTTGCCTTTTCTGTTTTACGTACATCTATCTTCCACTCATTCAACATGCACAGGAAATGGACAGTAATTCTCCACAGCTTGATACTTGTTCTAATTAGCCCACAGCTAACAATAGCTATGGTTTAACGAGCACTGTACAGGGACCAATCATTCCTTTGTTTACAGATACTGAGCACAGTTAAACTGAGGCCACGAGCTGGGCCGCTTGCCTCAAGCAGAGATGAGAGGCAGGCTACAGGAGTCTGGTAGTCACTACTTTCCAAATCAACACGATGTTCTTTCATTTTCAGACTTGTAGTTTTCACCCTCGACTGACACTAATCCAAGCAACGTTTGTTTGTCATCAGATTCGTGGCCTTTGGAGCTACAAAAGGATTTATTCCTTTAAAACACACAAATGAGACTCACTGTTGCACTGATTGACATGCTCCATGAACATGAATACTGATGTCTATTTTGAGCCAGTTCCACGCACTCTGTCGTGGTGTCAAAAATATTAACTAGAGCACCAAATCTCTATTAATGCAGGGCTGAAAACAGCCCTCAATAAAGACGCTGTGCACTCCTGTTTGCGTCATGTTTACAGCCCAGATGTTTAATTTTCAAACATTTACATCTCAGTAGGAACAAATGAGCTCAAGGCTGTGTGACACAAACAGGGTCGAGGGGTCAAAGTATTGAGAGACAGATACAATTTCACTTTTATAGCTATCTGGTAAAATTGCTTTTTAAAAAATCTGCACGACTGAGCATGTTAGAAACCCAAATAAACAGAAGACAAACACAAAGTTCGCTAGTTCTCCCTTCTGCCAAATAGCTTAGATCAGTGACACTCAACTTGGGACAAATCTGGCCTGGGATCAGGTCCCGGGGGCCTGCTGACCATGAAAATAAATTGATTCCCACTGGGAATTTTTAGATCAAACACAAAGTGCCAGGGGAGGATCCTCTAAGCCCTGAATGTCCTTTAAATCCTGGAAACGCCCCTGCGTAAACATGACCTGTGCAGGGCTGCTGTGGCTGGACTGGGCACTTGGCAAAGACGAGCACAGCAAACGTCAAATGGTTGAAACAGACACTTCATTCATCATTTATACTGATAAATATGACTAATGCCCGTTCATTAATTGGCCACTAGCCTCCTGCCATTGTGCAAAAGTTGCCCTCGGGCAAAGCAAGCTGAGTATCTGTGGCTTAGAGCAACCTGCCCAGCTGTGCTATTCAAGGTGCCTTGTAACAACAGAATCACATGAATATCATGTCTCATTATCATGATATAACTGTATGTATTCATTGACACGTCAGTCATTAAGGGCTTTGCCTCTGCTTAATTTTATTAATGGGAGGATCACGAGAAGTCTCCTTGGGGAGGACACTGGGGGGAGTTGTCCTATATTTCCACATCATAAAGGTTTGTCATGATGTTGAATTGCATGTTATTCTATTGTAAATCATTCATTCAAACCTCTCAACCCCTCTAGAAACAAGACACCTACGTCAGCTGTTGCTTTAAAGCCAGTGTACATCCATACCTTTGACAGAGTGCGTCTTCTCTAGCCGGTGCAGGTCGGGCAGGATGTGCATGCAGTTGATGCAGCAGTAAGTAAAGAAGTCCAGCAGCACCACTTTGCCAGCCAGCTCCTTGTTTAAAGACAGAGGCCCCTCTGTGTTGAGCCATTCCAAGCCTGGAGTAAATCACAGAGTGGAAAATTGGCCTGTCATTTTATTAATTATGTTTAGTCACAGCGCAGGAAAACGTTTCACAGTGCCCATCTGTCTGGTCTGATACTGCATTTATGTCATATGGAAGGAAAAAAAATAGCTGATGGATCAAAGCAGACTTGGAAGTTCTCACAGTTTCAGAGGTGTTGCTAAGCTATTAATGCCATGAATTAATTTCTGAAGATCTAGATCGTGTTTGATAATTCTTTTTTTTTTTTTTAACACTAACCTCACATGCACTCCAGATTGTGTCTGATAACGTCTGTCACACTTTACTGACATGCACTCGATTAATACTTTTAAATTTCACAGCGTACTGAGCACCAAAATCCAGCATGAGGTACCTGGAAATAAAACACTTTGAGCCTGTTTGAACGTATTTCTTTTACTTGTGCTGCTGTCTTGCTTTGCAATGTCTCCTTAGAAAGAACAATTCTTAATCTCAGTAGCACATGACCTGATTAAATAAATGCTGAATAATTAAAAAAAGAGTTATCCCTCCTTTTATACAGCTTTGAAAATGATGCAAGCACAGAGCAAGTAGGATAAAGAAGAAATAGATCTCGTGTTTTTAAAGATTCAGCATTTAAATTGTTGAAGAGGAAGACTATAGGTATTGTATGGTACCTAAGATGGTTTAATTTTAGGTTTTTAATTTGTTATTTGTGGAGTTTAAACTTGGCTGTTGTTACATACTGTATATCTTAAATGTTTCTTTGACTATGCAAAAAGAAAGGCATTTAATACACATATAATATATAAAAACACAAAATACTATAATGAATGGGTCAAGTACAGAGGTATACTGCCAAGAAGAAAATCATATGAACATCCATAACTGTTTTTAACTACCAGTTTAATTTATTTTATGTACAGTCATGATGGGTTTGTGGGCCTAGTTTCAATCCCATACAGCCATGTTTATTACTCTGCTGTTTGATGTTCTAACTGTAGATCCCCATCTACTGGTGCAATGAGATATTGCCAACATGTTGCATAGCAGAGGACCAAACTGAGGTGATGCTGACACCAGCAGCATTTGATTCCCCTCCCCTGGAGCTTTATTTTGAAACTACACTGGCGACAACCTTTTTCATTCTTCAAGTATGGGCCAACACTGTTTATACTATTTGGTGTGACAGCAGCTACAAAAGACAGCTGTTATGTAGTTATTCTGAATGTTAGGCTGTTGTTAAAGGACAAAAAATAAACACACTAATTCAAAGATGAGTAAGAAACCACTGAGAAGTCAGGGGTATGCCAAGAATTCATTCTTATGATGGTGCCATCAGAGAAAAGGCTAACATACTATCATTGTATGTGAATTGTGTGTTAAATTTCAAACTACTTAAGCATTTAACGCCTTATATTTGCAGTAGCATGAAAGTTATACAGCTTAGAGTATGAATAAAGCCCTGAAGAGGACAAATACAAAGACAGAGAAAAGGAAAAGGTACATAATATAATGCATGCTCTTGCTTTATATAGACTTGTGGCTTCCAAATTATGCCATACTTATTGTTATGAAAGAAAAACTTAAATAAAGTGAATAAAGTATAACTTGGACAGGAGGAAGCTGCAAGCTATTGTGTGCACAGCTGATAGACACAGGCAACAAAACACAACACAGGAAGCACTGCACTGTAAAAAAGTTGAACCTGCACAAAACAGCTGCTCCTTATTTGGTCTGAAATTGATCATTGCAGCCATTTCTTTAAATAGCTGTGTCACCAGTTGTTTTGTGAATAGATAAGATAGTTAGCTAACTAACAAAAGCACCCGTAGTTAAAGGGTATGTTAAAAAGAATTTAAACACCAATAGAGAAAAGGAGAGGACCCCTTAAATGTTCAGTTCCCATACTGTATGAACATGTCGAGTCCTGTAATGGCATGTTAGCAAACTCGAGTCAAACTATGGAGCAACTGCTATGGACAGAGACACAGTGCTAGGCGAGCTAGAGCTGTAACATGGGCTAACCTGTCTGGAAATCGGGTATCTTCAGGTCCTCTCTCTCGTCTAGCCTTTTTAAATACTCGTAGACAAGATTTTCCTTCTCTTGCTGTGTCGCGGCGTCGTCCAGGGCGTAGTCCAGCTGAGTTTGGATAGGAAATAAGGTGGAGAGGCTGCAGTAGGACGCCATGTTTCTAACAACAAGCAGCCTGCTAGGTAAACTCACAACGAAGATTCAGACCGCGGCTTTCGACACAAAAGTAAAACGAAAAGATAAAATTAAATTCGTCACCTGGGGCTTTGTTTAGAACTGTAGACTGTTTTGTAACTGAATAAATTACCAGTAAACTATTGTGTATTTTTTTAATTGTCTTTAGCTTGAATGATTACGAATTCAGTGTTGGGATGTGCGTGGAATGTGCTGCTCGGTTTCTCTACTTGTCTTTACCACATTCATCACTGTATTGTGGCGGTAAGCCCTAACATGTCCGAGCGAACCTCACAGAATTAATTAGCTTTATATCCTAAATATTAATTATGAGAAACTATTTTCGCAGCGGAAACTATCCTCGCGACATCAAGGAAGCTAGAGTAGCCGTTAATGTACTGTAAAGTTTATTGTTTTCTGCCACTGCGGGATGTTAGCAAACAATCCTTGTGTAACAGCGACGGTTTGGCGAAGTTGTTGGATAACGTTGGGGACGTGAGGCTTTCTCTTGGTCCAAATGTCACAGAAGGACGACTCTGAAAATGACATTTGGGAGTATAAACCTCTTGAGAAGAAAAAGAAGAGACAGGAAGCACCGTCTGCACCTGCAACTGTGACTAAAAGAAGATGTACTATCAGAAAAACCTTCAAGAGAGACACTTCTGCCTCAGTCAGGACACCTGACAGGAAACTCAAGAGAGCTGAAACTGGACATTGCAGTAGTGCTGTCAACGGACAAAGCAGCTCTCAGGAACATAATCAGCCCTTAAAGTCATCTCCGACTGGTGACACGGACCTAATAGACAATGCTGCTGAGAGATCATCCTCTGGATTGTATTGCCCTGTGTGTCAGATGCCCTTTTCTATTTTGATGGTACAGAGTCAAAGATGGCATGTTGCTGAATGTCTTGACATCCCCAAGGACACATGCAAAGGTACAGACACCTTTACTTATTCATACACTATATCTAAAAATGGACTGACACTTATTTTTAATATTATAATTATTATGCACTGTAGATACCAAAAATAAAACCTATTAAAATGTTATATATTGCAAAATGTTCTTCGCAATTATTCCATGATACTTAAAGGAGCACTACAGCAATTCAGTAGTCCTTCCACAAAGGTTGGGGACTCACAAAAGATAAGTCCCCCAGGATGGTCAGAGCTCCAAAAACACCAGACTCTACAAAGACAAAGGAACAGAAGCGATGCTGGGTCTTAGTAGTAGTCACATACAGGTGCACTTTGGATACTCAAGGTGTACAGTGTTTATTCCATCTTGTGAAGGGCTTATTGCATGAGTAAAGTATACTCTCAATCAAAAAAGCAGACAGTGACCCTGATGAAGACCTATGAGTTGCAATGCATTCATATTTTTAATCTATATTGCCATGTAAAGTAAGGCATTTTAATTTTTGCACAAACCCTACAGTATCCCTTGGATTGTTTTAGAAGGAGACTTGCATTTTATACTTGTGATTGAGAGTGTATCTTAAGTGCTAATATGGTAGGCAACTGGACTTGCTTGCTTTTCTTGAAGACATTTCTCCTCTCATCCAAGAAGCTTCTTCATTTCTAAATGACTCTGAAACTAAGAGCTCACATGACCCCTACGACTCTGCAAGGGTTCCCACCCACACAGGGTTTATAGCCTGCAACTTCATACCAGTCATTTAGAACTGATGAAGCTTCTTGGATGAGAGGCGAAACGTCTTCAAGAAACGCAAGCAAGTCCAGTTGCCTACGATATTAGCACTTACGATTACCATGACCTGGATGACTGAGAATCTTCACCGACAAATTGAGAGTATACTTAACTCATGCAATGAAAACTTCACAAGTTGGAATAAACCCTAGAGTCTACATTTCCCATAATGCAACTTGATAGCATCCTTCACCATGCTGCACTCATGAAGACATGGGAACGGTTCCTGGCATACATTCCCAAGCATTCACGTCATCTGACAGCTCAAGGAGGTTGTGTAATTGCAGACTAGGTTGTAATAAGGGAAAAAATATTGCACATTGACAATATAGCACTTTATATACATTAAATGTTGGTTTAATAACCATAAAAGGTGGACTGGCTGGTGTGAGGCATCTGTATTTGTTTGCCTTTTGGGCAGTTCTGTATTATCAACTTCTAACTCAGATACACTGGCAGGAAAACCTGAGTCATGGTTACAACTTAAGATATGGGGAACATTATTTATAAGTCAGAAACTGAAGATTACAGTAATGCCAACATGACATGAACATGGCATCAGACCCACCCTGGCTGGTAAATGTCCATATCTTGTACACTTTTTTATTTTAACACACTGTTTTTGTTCAAAGTTTGAAGCCTCAAGCCCGGTTTAAGAAAACCTAGACTGCATAATCAGTGTTATTTTATTTAGAAAGCTCTGTCATGCCGCAGCAGACTCGTTGTATGTAGATGCTTTTGAATTATCGTTTTGTTTCGTGCTATGATAAACCTAATTTCTACATGTTTTATCTGTTTGCACAGAATGTCCATATGGCCTCCAGTGCATCTCCACCATTCCTAACCATTACAAGAAATTCAACCACACCCTCCTTGCTCATGGTCGAGCAAACGGTGACATGGACCACCTCATTCTGTCCCAGCAGGCAGACACCAGCGGGAAGACCAACCTCCCAGGACTGATAAACAATAATGGCTCTATTTTAGAGTCTTCACAGGATAGTGCTCTCAGTCTCTCTGCCTTATCCAATCGTAGTGTCTCCCCTCACAGTAATCACACTGGAACACCACCATCTAAACTTACAAATGGACTTCTGTTACTGCGCTCACCCGGCCCAGATGATTTTAAGAAAAAGAAAGGCTGGTCAACCTCTACTAAAAGCCAAAAGTCTATCAGTGCTTCCCAGGAAAGTAGAACAGAGCTGTCATCCACCCCTGTCAAGGCAGAGAGTGCAAGACAAGCCTCTGAAGTTTTACCCAAAAGTGAACCTTCCCCTGACATCTATGATGCAATATCATTTTCTCCTCTTTCTGAGTTCCCCACAGAGACTGAAGTCAATAGTACTGAATGCAGAAAATCCCTTTTTAATAACAATGCATTTGAAAATGAGGATGAAAACTCAATGGAGCTGTTCAGTGACGGTTTCTCAAGTGAAGATGAGGTTCTCTCTCAATTTATAGATAATTTGGATACCAATAATGTGCAGGTAAAGGAGCCTGCTTCCTTAAACACCCAGCTGGACTCACTTACCTCGTCGCCTCCTGCTAATCAGCCCGCCCCCTCTGCAGTTGCGGAAAACAGAACTGATTCCACAGGTGAAAAAGAAGCTCATTGTAAACCAACCAGTGCTGAAAGTCCATGTAAAAGCAGCTTTCAGTCTCCACAAAGTATTGTTTTAGAGCGCCTGAGAGAAACTATTCTGAGCTCAGATAGCCCACATTTGAAAAACTTGAACGACAGCAGTATTCAAGTGCCTTCATCACAAACCTCTGTTGTCCAAAGACCTCAAAGCATGCCGCCACAGAAGGGCAAGGCAGGTCAGGCCTCCTCTCTGAAGCAGACGGACATTGGGGTGTTTTTTGGCCTCAAACCCCTCAAGGAGAAAGAACCTGAGAGTGGACCAAGTGAAGTCAGCACCACCTCTTTGCTAACACACAGTGAAAACTCAGGACGGGGACGACAAAGGAGAGACGGGCAGAGGCGACAAAGAGGAGATAGGCAGGGAAGAAGTAAGGCTGGTACATCCGCAGATACCTCACAGGAGGGCACAGTGACTGTAGATAATGCGGTGGATGCTCAGGGAGAAGGAGGGAGAGGCAGGAGTAGGGGATGGAGAGGAGGAAGATGGAACAGAGGGAACGCTGATGGAGAGTTGCCACGTTGTCCCTTCTACAAAAAGATTCCAGGTCAGTGGTAAATTGATATTGTTGCATGCATTGTGTTTTGTAACTGAAGATAATTGTAATTTTTTTCACTCAGGCACAAAGTTTGTCATAGATGCCTTTCGGTACGGAGAGGTCCAGGGCATCACTGCCTACTTCCTAACACATTTCCACTCGGACCACTATGGAGGGTTGACCAAGAATTCCACATTTCCAATCTACTGCAACAGAGTAAGTCAAGCTGTGGCGATTTTTTTAAAATGTGAACGACACCCAGTATGTGTGCTCCAGCACCTGGTCACTACCTTTTTGTAAAGTCCTGCCCTCACCTGCACACTGTGGCCAAGAATGGGGATGAAACGGGAACCATTTTAACAAAAAAACGTGATAAAATTCCCAACAATTAGTCTTCCAGACGCAGGTGCCGCATGCAAGTTGGGTTTGTTTTGCTATTCCCTCGCTTACAGAGTGGGCACATTTGATATTCATTTTATAGGTTTACATAAGGTGTTAGCTATGTTATTATTATAATGTTTATGCAGATAAGAAGTTGATAGTGCTGCTAGTTTTATTTGTGGTTTTCAATATAAAACTTAGTGAAATGATTTCAGTGTGTATATCCGTACCTTTTTGACCTTTTCACCACGTCTCTACCCATGAACGCCCCACACATAGCAAAATAAGAAGAAAACACAGGCAGAGGGCTGAGTCTCTGCAGATAAATACATTGCCACACACTTCTAGTGGGTCATAAGAGATAGGGTTAGGAGAATCCTGCATAGTTTACCTTATACATTCCTTAGTTTATGCTTATACTGTGTATTTTAAATGGTGGCTAAGTGCCTGATATGGTGTTTATACTGGCTGGGTCATGCATTAGTTACACCACTGTATTTTGAACTATGAGTCAGTTATGAATTGTTTTTTACCCTAGATTTAATTTGAGTCAGCTGAAACTGCATCCCACCCAAACCCAGATTTTTATAACTCATACAGAGAAAGAAAGAGTGTGCGGTATTGTGTCATAAATAAATGACAGGTCCTCCCTCCCAAGACCTGTTTGTCCCTGAATGCTAAGGAAGAAATTAATGCTTTGAAGGTGCTACAA